TATGTAAAATTTTGTGTAATTACATTTTAATTCAAATGTATCAAGTTGGTGTATCACGCTTAATGAGATGACCAATATAAATGAATTAACTAAGAATTAAGAAAAAAGATTTTCAGATCTAGTAATATTAAAGAAATTCGAAATTTTAGACCTTAATAATTAGTTTGTATAAGGTGATTTAATTGATATGTATATGTTATATATAATAAGCAATTCAAGCAACAATTTTAAAATGATGATTACTTAAAATAAAAGATTTAAATAATAATCTTTTCTTTAATATATGACCAAGTATGAAATTTAGAAGAATTAATAGCATTAAAAATATTGATAAATTCTTCGCCCATTTTAGTACCTGGAGTATAGACGGACGTTGTCCCGTCAAAATTACAGGGACACAGACGCTCCGGAACAATGTCCCATGTTCGTGATGGTGTCTCGTATCATATGGTTTATCGAACAACGTGGTTGGCTAACAAAGGACAAAAAAATTTTCCCGGGTATAAATCAAAATTTGGCATTCTAAATTGCTGCAGGGTATAACATGTTGGGGGAATACGGTACTGGTACATTCTCGTGACCAAAAATGATATAAAATTTTGATTATAGGCTATCTATTTATTTAGACAAAAAAATTTTGATTGATGACTATTTTTGGTACATAATAAAGTTACAGTAAATTTGCATACGTAATACAAGACCAAAATCGAAATATTGTAATAAAGAAATTACTTATTGGTCTAAATTTGGTGATTGTAAGTATAATACGTATATATTAATTAATATATATTACGTAAAGCCAAATTCTTTTTTATAATCAAAACTTTTCTTATATTATCGTTATAGGAATGATTGAGCAATTGCCATTGATGCATTTAAATTTAGTTATGAGGTGCGATTAAAATCATTATTCAAAATCATAATTAAATGAAGACTTGCTTTGCAATATCTATTTTTAAGTGAATAATCAATTAAATTTAGAAAGTCTTAATTAATGAGGGTGAGTAGGTAAGTACGAACGCATATGTAGGTAAGTATGTACGTGGTCCTGTCTTTAGTGTTAGCTATTAGTATGTCGATTATGTATGCTATTATAGCAGTACGAATATAATAACTGGAGATGCGGTAAAATCGTAAAACCGTTACAGCATATGCTATGCTAGAAAGTTTTTAAATTTATGGAAAGACAAGTCATAATTTTGGCCGGAACACACCACTCCTGAAGCTGACTAATGGCAGCATAATAGGGGGTGTACCTTGGCACCATACTTACTTGTGATAGTCATACAAACAAGACAATCAATCAGGGAATAGGATTTCATTTACTGTACCTGGGATAAACTCGACGCGTGCAAAGCGAAGAAAAGCTGCATTGTCAAGTTGTGATACTAAATAAAACGACGGGAACAAAAAATTTTCTTTTTACAGTATAATCTGATCCTAGAATTTTTCATATGTAACTGCAAAATATATGTGCATTTATGCTTGGCGCCAATGTTTGTTTAGGAGATAATGTAGAAGTTTACAAATTTATATTTAGACAACAAATCAAAATTTCAATTTGTAAACTCTGGTTGGATATCTAAGGGGACGACAATTTTGGATCTCTACTTTTTATATACTGTTTAGGATTGTTGTCATGAAAACTTGTCAACTAAAGATGTAAAGGAGAGAACTGACGGATAATAACGAACTAATTATTATAATTAATGATTATAATTGATTATTATTATTATTATTATTATTATTATTATTATGAATCGAAAAAACGTCACGCTTTAATGTCAAGTCATATTTTTTGTAAATGGCATCTTTTTTTTTAATATATTAACAATATGTAAATATAAGTTATCATCTATCACTATCGCTGTGCACTTTTATTTCTTTTAATAATATATATTACATCTTTGTCGTGAAAATTAAAAGAGTGATAAAATAATAAAGGTATAAACCATTCTGTTCATAATAAATTATTATTATTAGACTATCGATATAAGCTTTTATTATAAAAATTGCACCAGGCATTTCTCTGAATGATCAATCTTTTGTTTTTTTTTTGGTTGTTTTTGTTTGTATAAAAAAATAATGTCTTTTAATAACTATTATATATATGTGTATTGTTGTGTGGAAATTCCAGGCTCCACCTTTACAGACGTAAGTTCTTCATTATTTGTTAAAATATTTACATTTTTCTCTTTCCGGGCAAACATTCTCGTTATACCACCTCCTAATATTGTTATAGCACACAGTGCAAGAATCGATGAAGCTGCGGTTGGACCAACTACTAGTGGCATTTGGAATTGCGTTCCTGGAAGAGGAAGAGGAGGAGTTGAACCTTGTGTTGAATTACTTGTGTCTGATGATGAGTCACGTCTATAAAGAGCGTTTGATAGTATGTCTTCTATTACATTTTGATTTATTTGTGATGCTTTAGATTTTTAAAATTAAAAACATGTTAGAAACTTGAAAGTTTATAAAATTAATTGTAAAGATAATAAATAAATACTCACCAGAAGTAATACCAAACACTGTTGTATACAAAAGAATGATTATAAAAACCATAAATCCTCTATGAATCATCTTTGCTAATAAAAACAAATATATTAAATACAGAATGGTTAAAACTGGCTAGCAGTCGATAGTGAGGAAAAAAAAAAAGAAAGTGTTTAAGTGCACTTTAATAGAAAAAATCCAGTTCTATCTATTTATTATTTTACACAATTAGATCTTTCAAATTATTTGGTACAACAAAAGTTGTCGCTCAATAATAAGATCTATTAATGTTTCAGAGTATCAGAGTATCAGAGCATCAGAGCATTGTGCTTTTGTTTTGAATGCAATGCGAATGTTGTGGAATATCCGCAACCAATTTTTGGATTTCTTTTTTCGCAATATTTAGAAATTTTTGTTCTTTAATTGGTTTTCCAAATCTCATGATCTTTGGATCCTTAGCAACTTTATTATAAAGTTGAACTATAAATTTCTTGGATACTTAATTAAACTTCCGTACTTGGCATACAATTAATTAATGTCCTTATATGCATTATTGTTTTCTGCTCATGATAAATTCTCGGCTAATAAAAAAGCCATGTATTTAAAGTAATGCTTTTTTTTTTTTTTAGCCGTCAGTTTCATATAATGCATGACAAAAAAAAAAATATATATATATATTATCATGCGTCTTCCTTTGTTACATCTTTATTGTGATAATGTTTTCCAGTTGCAAATAATATTACGACTATGTATTAAGGGTTGCTTCAAATTACCTCTCACAAAGATAAACATATACAAAAAAAATACTCACTATTTAAAAATATAAAGCCCGATCGATCAAAATGCAAATATCCGGTGTTACTATCCAGCGTCGGAATATTGATATTGGTTAATGGAAAGGTTTGTGCACAAGCTAACTTGAACTTGAAATATATTAGTGATTCGAGAATAAAGAAATCTCAAAAGTTGAGTAATTACGAAAGAATAAAGTTATAATATATCAAGAAATAAATAAATTCAATATTATATTATGTGTATATATAGATTAGAAGTGTTATTTTGCTATCTTTTATGTTATTTAGAAGCAAGGTAAATTGCACCTTTATCAAAGTCAAAGTCAAACACGTTTTATATACAATTGAAGATGAGGGTTTTTCTATAATTTTTTATAGCTATTTTAATTGTTTCAATTATTATTTAATAACCAGCGATCTTAGTACGAAATTGAGGAAATCTTATGATCGATGTTTTCATTAGAATCACATGATATGCAAAGAAATAACCCCATCTCTATTGAGGTTTCGATGAGTATTTTCTTTAATATTCATACTAAATTATGCCACTTTAACGTTAATTGTCATATTCGTATACAATTGGTAAATGCAAATCCTTGCTATACCCAAAACATTAAAGACAATCATACCACGATAAATTGAATATGAGTATCGCTAAAAGAAACCCCGAAATTTTAATATAAGTCATATTTAAATTTTCGGGTTTTCTTTTAACGACACTCATATGTTAATAAAAACCCGTAATAAATTAGAAATTTGAAAATCAAAAACCTGACCTGATTTCGATAGTTCGAATAAAATAGTATTGTTACATTGACCGTAGTTCTTTTACTAAACTTGAAATTTCGATTTTCATTGGTTTCTTATGCCGGACATTGCATAGAACTGTATTTATTTGGGATTTGAGCGGAGCAAATTTAGGGTTACTTTTTTGATGCAGCTAGGGTGAACGGGTTATATGGATGTCAAAAATATAATTTATGTAGTATGTAAATCATATATTGAATTAACTCCGCTTTAGACGACCCCAATCTTAACTGTCAAAGGGGGGTGCCACTAAATACTAATTAGGTCTAAATGTTTCTTTCAAAAGTTTCATATTAAATAAGAAATGAAAATAAATGCGAAAATCGTCTATATTTCGTTGATCTTTGTCAAACTGTTTAGCAATGTACTAAACAAATCAGGGGTATCCAATTGAGAACGATGTACTTATTTTTTTCAACTGTTAAGTATATTCATACATATACGTATAATGTTAAAAAAAAAAAGAATATATACAAATTAAGACTTTTTAAATCAAAGTTATTGTTCCCATAACCCATCTTTATCATAATGCTAAAAAAAGGACAAAACTAATAGCACTTGCCATAATCATAATCGTTAAGAGAGTTATTTATAAAAATTATGTAAGTTTTATAAGTCTATGGCTATATTAATCATACGTACGATATGTTTTACTATCAAAATTTCGTTTGTCTGTCCGAATCTATAAAACAATATTTTAGGACATAGTTATTGTTTGAATCGGATCGGATGAAGTTTTTAAAGCATATGCGCCGATTTGTTTGATGAAGATTAATTAAGTATATAGAATATCACATGTTGGAAGTAGCATTTAATTAAAAATTTTACTTCCGTATTCACCTTTATTCATTATTCAACGATTAACCCGATCGTTCGCTACCCAAATGGAAGCAGTGATTTTATTTTACAGTTCAGCATAATTATATCATCTATTTTATCTCTTATAGGGGAGTAAAAAGCTCTTTGGGTAAGTATTTCGTTTATTAATTACGTATTTTTCACGCCACTTGATAGTGAAAGTCAAATTGGTCGAGATGCAAATCTGGATCCTATCCAAAATTGTCCAAATCTGGACTTATTCATGTGCCAAACAAATTATGTCCATCACATTGGTAGGAAAATGTGCACTTATACGTAGCAGTAATGAGATATTAGAGCTGTTAAAAAGCTTGTTGAACTTTATCCTTGAATCGACTTCACTCGATCATTTTGAGACCAATTCCGAGCTTATCCTAAATAAATTCCAAATGTAGAGAGTGCCATTCCTGCACGTCATTTGTTCCAATTTGTTGATTGAGGAATTGGAAAAACATTCACGTAATACGTAAATACATATCTGTTATCGTTAGTAAATCATATGAACGAGCTTAACTCAAGATCAGTCCGATCAATGTCCCTACTTATGGAGCACGGACGTACTTTTACTGCTGTTTTCATAAATTTACCGACTGAATAATTTTCCGATTGATAAGTTTTGCGGAGTGATCATTGCTATTACCGAAGTCACAAACTTATCTAATCGGCAAATATTCGGTCAGTCAACTTTTTTTGCCAAATGTTCTAAAATTTATGAAAACAGTTGTAATCAGCCTAGACATGATTCATATTTTTAATTAGTCATGATATTATGTTTGTATGACACGTTTGTGGGTTGACTATATTTTCAAAGAAAGTTTTTTAACTAATAAACAAACGTTTCAAACATTATCCATAGCTTTAAAATATATAGTATCAGATTTAAATGTGCAAAAGAACCTTGTCAGACTTCATTTAGAAGACAAGATACACTACTTTTTATTGGACTCTACAGTCAGCCAATTAATCCAAAGGTGAGTCATATGTACCAAACCGGAAATGGTTAAATTTTATTAAAATTCTAAATCTATTGGAATTGCGAATGCGATTCTGCAAGAATAACTAGTAGTGGATTTCCAAATTAACAAAAATATTGAGATTTTTCAATTAGCTTTTTTATTATATATCATTATAAATCGGAAAAAAATTGAAATAAGGTTTCTTAAATTTAAATCTTGAAACTCCTTATCGTTATTGCAAGGTTTTAGACGATCTCAGTGCTATTATTGGTGAAATATTCGAATTCGAATTTTATACGTACTTAGGTTTAGCTCTTATGTGTCTGCTAGATCAAATATGCACCAATTAGATCTTAAAAATGATCAAATATTAAGGTTAGGATAAAATATTATGTTTAAAGCATACCGTATATATACTAAAATTTTACAATGAATTTTTTATTGGAGAGCAGAAAGTGGGTTTATACGTAGTCGAATTTTTAAGTTATCTGTTGAAATAATTTGATTGGTGCATATTTGTCGATCTCATCAGGGTAGCAAGCAGGGTTTGTCGATCGTGAATACGTCCATCAGTTATGTCGAGTTTAATGGAAATTTACAGTATAATGTGGTTATGTTAATTTCACTATTTCAATTCTTTCGTGATCGTGTGAACAACTTCCGCATACCTATGTGGAATCGGGAAATTCTTATTAGTAAAAATTGAAGATCCGACTAGAGCTGGATTTGAAATTCTGGAAATCTGGGAAATTTCGTGAATTGTTCGAATTCACACCTTTTTTGAAAACAGCTAGCTATAATAATTTTCGAATTGACCCTAGCGCTAGCTGCCGCACCAATTTTGTCATGGCAGATTTTAGATTTGGGTTGGTTAACGGCCGTGATCTACAAATTTTGACCCCCCTGGAACTTTTTAATTTTTTCATTCAAAAAATAGAAAATTTTTTAAAAAGAAATAAGTCCGTACAATGGTAAAATTAGCCCGGAAACATTTTTCACTTAACGGGCGGCTGTCTAACCTTTTTTTAGCTAGGGTCAATTCGAAAGTACGATTTCCATATACTCTAGAGGATGAACCGGTTGCGGCAAATTCAAAATACTGATCAATACATGTGCCGTATTACCTCGACATAACGGACCGGGTAAAATCGCCACCCAAAAAAGGTTCGAAAATCATGTGATATTGTCGATTCATCATGATTATACATGCTGGCAAAACTAAAAATTTCAAAATCCCACCCAAATCCCAAATATAATAAAATTGTCCCAAATCCCAAAGCCCAAATCCCATCCCAAATAGAATAAAATTCGTCACAAATCCCAATCCCAAATCCCAATAGTTTTGCCAGCAAGTATAATCATTACGACAGTTACGCAAATCCTACCTAAAATAGGGGAGGTAAATTCAATATAAGGATCTACATACTGCATAATTGTGTTCTTGATATCTATATAAAACACATACCCTACATGCATCAAAACAGTAACTTTTTTAATTACCCCGCTTTAGCGATCCCCTTAAAATAGTAACCAACCCTAATTAAGTATAGATCTGCATCAAGAAAGTTATCCTTTCATAAATATTAACACAATTGATTTAGTAATTTTTTTCTTCGATTCTTCAAAATGAAACGCGATCGTTAACAATATACGCACTATTATAAAAATAGAC